CGCATGCGGACGGCAGCCATGGGGCCTTCGGTGGAGCTCCCTGTGGGGCCACGAAACGTGTGAGGGGTGTGCCGTGTATGGGGCCTTCGGTGGAGCTCCCGCCAAACGTGTGAGGGGTGTGCCGAAATGGGTTTGCGGGACGCATGCGGACGGCAGACGCATGGGGCCTTCGGTGGAGCTCCCTGTGGGGCCACGAAACGTGTGAGGGGTGTGCCGAAATGGGTGTGCGGGACGCATGCGGACGGCAGCCATGGGGCCTTCGGTGGAGCTCCCTATGGGGCCACGAAACGTGTGAGGGGTGTGCCGAAATGGGTGTGCGGGACGCATGCGGACGGCAGCGGAGGAGGAGGAGAGGAGGAGGAGGAGAGGAGGTGGGACGCGGGCCGTCCTCTCTTCAAAACGAGGACCCAACACCACAAGATGGTTGGGAAAAAAAGGTGCGAGCCCCGGGAAGGGCACATCAATTGAAAAAAGCACCATTTGCCCTGGAGAGCAATCAACATCAATTACTCAGTAATGAGGATCCAACGACAACAGCAGCAGCAGCAGCAACAACAACAACATCAACAGCAACACAACAACAACGACAACGACGACGACGACCACAACAACAACAACAACAACAACCACAACAACAACAACAACAACAACAACAACAACAACAACAACAACAGCAACAACAACAACAACTGCAGCCGTAACAATAACAACAACAACAACAACAACAACAACAACAACAACAATAACAACGACAACAACAACAACGACAACAACAACAACAACAACAACAACAACAACAACAACAACAGCAGCCGCAACAACAGCAGCAACACCAACAAAACCAACAACTACAACCATAACAACCACAACAAAAACAACAACACCACCACCACCAACAACAACAGCACCAAAAACAACAACAACAACAACAACAACAACAACAACAACAACAATAACAACAATTTTAAGACCGTTCGCCCTTATATGCTCGAGTGTCCAATAACGCGTATTTCCCAAACCCTCGATACCCGCCCTCTTCGTCTTCGATCGAACCCCTTTTGGGGGGTATACCTTTCTTCCCTGCAGGCCGGGCCCCGGCAAGCGGCGGGGCGGCCGCGGACCGTCGGCCTGGCCAGCGGCAGCGCTGATCGGCGGGGCGGCCGCGGACCGTCGACCCGACCCCAAGAGGGACGGACAGGGGACCGACCACGACGACGACGACGACGACGACGACGACGACGACGTCGAAGACGACGGCGACGACGACGACGACGGCGACGACGAGCGAAAGCGAGAGCGAGAGAGAACGACAGCAGGGCCACGAAGGGCACGAAGTAGGCCACGAAGGGCGACAGCGGGGACACGAAGGGAATGCGTATGGGGCCACGAAGAGCGCGAACGAGCGGGGGCCACGAAGTGCAGATAATGTGGGGCCACAGAAGGCAACTATGGGGCCACTGAGGGTAGCAACTGGGCCACGTAGGACAGTGAGGGGGACACAAATGGCGACAGCGGGGCCACGAAAGGCATGCACATGGGGCCACAACGGGCGCGACTCCTGGGTGCCTGGGTGTCGGGAGCGCGGCGCTTGGGCAAATTGCAGGAAATTCCAACGCAAGGCCATTCTTCAGTAAGTTGCAAGCAAGTCTCCTGCGAGAGCGCGACTCCAGAGCGCCGGGAGAGCGATTCCTAAATAAATTGTGAAAAAGTCCCAAGCGAGAGCGCGATTCCTGAATAAAGTGCGAGGAAGTCTCGGGCGGGAGCGGGGGTCCTGGCTAAATTGTAAGGAAGTCTCAGGCGGGAGCCGTTGTTGTTGTAACCCGGAGGCCAGGGGGCCAGTTTGAGCAGGAAGACTTTCCCTGTCAAAAAACAGGGTGCGAGCGTCGAGGGGCACACTTTGATTGAGAAAAAACCATATGCACCGGTGGGGGGGATCAACAATAATACTTCTTCAGAAACGAGAATTCAACAACAACATCGACGACGACGACGACGATGACGACGACGACCACAACAAAAACAACAACGACCACAACAACAACAACAACAACAACAACAACAACAACAACAACAACAACAACAACCCACGACAACAACCACAACAACAACAACAACAACAACAACAACAACAACAACAACAACAACAACAACAACAACAACATCAACAACAACGGCTACAACTGCCTCAACAACCACCGCGGCAGCAACAACAGCAACAACAGTAACAATCATATTAAGACTACTCGCTCTGACCTGCTCGCGTGCCATTCAACACAGATCAACCAAACCCGCGGTAGCCGCCCTCTTCGTCTTCGATCGTACACCATATTGGGGGTGTATCTTCCCTACCTGCCGCGTGTAGCTGGCGCAGCCACCCAAAACCAAGGGAAGGAGGGAAGGAGTGAAGAGACAAGGGGGAGGGAGAAGGATGGAGCACGAGAGAAATTTGCAGGAGGAAGGTTAGGAGCTGAAACCACGTGGCAGAACCAGCCTGGCGTGTCTCTTGAGCGGACACTAACGGGCAGGTCGTGCGGGCGGGCCCAGACGGCCAAGTCAAGCGAGCGGGTCGCCAAAGCGTCAACCCATCATGAAGGAGGATTCGAGCGATAGCACGATTCCCCAATCGTGAGGAAATCCAAAACGAGAGCGTGATTCCTGCGTCTAGGGGCACGGCGCAACAAGAAATTGGACGCAAGTACCACGCGAGAGAGCGATGAAGAAGTCCCGCGCGAGAGCGTGCATTTGAAATGACCTCCTCCTCCTCCTCCTCCCCCTCCTCCCCCATCCCCCTCCTCCTCCTCCTCCTCCTCCTCCTCCTCCTCCTCCTCCTCCTCCTCCTCCTCCTCCTCCGCCTCCGCCTCCGCCTCCTCCTCCTCCTCCTCCTCCTCCTCCTCCTCCTCCTCCTCCTCCTCCTCCTCCTCCTCCTCCTCCTCCTCCTCCTCCTCCTCTTCTTCCCCCTCCTCCTCCTCCCCCTCCTCCTCCTCCTCCTCCTCCTCGCCCCCGTCCTCCTCCTCGTTTCCCAGAAAGCGGTCGCCCTGCCCCGCGGCGGGCTGCGGCCGGGACAGGCGCCCGGAGGCGCGGCTCGCCTGCGCGAGCGCTTCGGCAGCCGTCCTTTACGAGACTTCGCGAGGCGCTCGGCTATCTTAGAAAAAGAAGCAGAAAAGGGACGAGGAGGAGGAAGAAGAAGAAGAAGAGGCAGAAGAGGAAGATGAGAAAGGAATAAGAAGAAGCAGAAGAGGTGCGGATGCCATGACATCGAACACTCTAACAATCCTATCATTGAGTTGAAGATGTGCTTAAAATGTAGGAAAATTGTTAAGCCTGTTTTAAACATGTTTCTACATAGTTAAAACATGTTTGAAGGTCTTTTTAGACATCCTGGAATTACTTGGCAACGTGCTTCCTCTCCATTGATCATCATCCACCAAAGAAGAAGAAGAAGAAGAAGAAGAAACGGCACAAACATAAACTGTTGGCGCTCCACGCGGATTTCTTGGATCCGCGCTGACCCTCCCTGGCGCGCGGAGCGCGCCAGGGGCGGCGCTGGAAGCGCCGCCAGGGCGCTCCAGCGCAGATCCAAGCCATCCGCGCGGAGCGCCAAAAGTGTATGTGTTTGCCGGTTTCTCTTCTTCGGTATCTCTTATCTATTCTCCTCCGTCCTCCCTCCTCCGCCTTCGCCGCCCCAGCAGGAAGGGCGCCGGACGCAGACTGCGCTCCCGCCCGCCGCCCGAGGAGGAGGGACGAGGGCGAACAGCTCGATGACTGGGGTAGGAGGGCACCCAAAGCAGGCTGAAATCTGGAGGTCCAAAAACACTACTTCCAACGACCAGCGTCCATCAGCTATCTACAGGGCAGGTTTTAATACATAGGATTCTTAAACATATAAGATTTGAATGCATGATTAATGTATGAATAAATTTATGCATGAACTCATCGTTGTTTTTAATACTGAATCCCTGCATGTTTAATACATGATCCGCACGCGGAGCATGTATTAAAAACGGCACTGTATCCTCCTCCGTCCTCCCTCCTCCGCCTTCGCCGCCCCGGGCGGCGGCACCTGGGGCCGTAGTACGTGTAGATCGAGCCCGTGCCGCCCACGGCGGAGATGCCGCCCTCCTTGGGCTTCTTGTGGATGATGCCGAGGAGGGTGTCGCCGACCATGTTGTAGCGGAGCTCGCCTGGGTGGCGAACTCCGAGCCCGTCGGTGGCAACTCGTGAGAGCCTCCCCTACCATCTTGTCGGCTCCTGCGCATCGGCGCTCGTCGACGCCAGTCGACGCCGATCGACGCCAAATCGACGCTAAATCGACGCTGATCGGCGCTAGCCGACCCCCACGAACCATCTGAGTACCCTAAATGGATGGGAGGCGGGGGTAGGGCTCGGATTTTGCCGCGTTCTCGACGAACTCCGAGCCCCTGCCGCCACCACCCATCGAGTTGCCTGAATCGTGGATCGGCGAGGGTAGGGCTCGGATTTCGCCACCGATCACCCTCAACGATGCGCGGGCAGAAGCGCTGATCCACCAGCTGGCCGCCAGCCGCCTTGCCCCCCTCCAGGTACTTGCCGACGCCCTTCGAGGTCCACTCGCCAGACTTCGCCGTGCGGCCGTTGATACAGAACTCGATGAACTCGGCCACGGTGTGCTCCTCGGAGTGGTTGTCGTTGGCCTCCATCAGGTCCAGCTTCTCGTCGTCGGCGGCGCTCTTCTCCCCGAAGGAGCTGCAGTACTCTCCGGACTTGAGCTTGATGATCCAGATGCCCTCGCCGGCGGAGCCGCGGTTCTGCTTGATGACGCGCGGCTGGAACTTCATGGTCTTCTTGAACCCCGCTGAGAAGGAGGCCGCGTCGTAGTAGGCCAGCGTGTCCTCCAGTCCCATCGACAGTTTCGCGATCTTGCACAGGGCGTCCTTGGCGCCCATGAACTCCATCACGTCGGGAGAAGGCCAAACCTGGATGCCCGCCTTGCGCAGATCGCGCATCGAGTCATCGAACTTACCCTGGCAAGATATCTTTAAACTTCGGACTGCTTTCTCCAAAGCCCGAGCCGGCGACAGCGGGGGCGAACGAGCACCTCGCGATCCTCTCCTCCTCCTACTCCTCCTCCTCGTCCTCCTCCTCCTCCGCCTCCCCCTCCGGCTCATCCTCAACATCCTCGGCCTCCTCCCTGGATGCGGAGCATATGAGGTGGAGAAGCTGGAGCACGCGAGAAAGAGCAAGGAGGAAGGAGAAACGAGGACAGAGGAATGGGGAAATGAGACGAGGGAGGAAGAGGAACGGGGACAAGGGGGAGGGAGAAGGAGCAACAGGAAAGGAGGGGGAGACAGGGAAGGGGCACAAGGGAGTTGCGCATCTCAGTCCTCCTCCTCCAGTTCTTGCTCCTCCTCCTTCTCCTCCTCCACCTCCTCTTCCTCATCGTCATCCTCGTCCTCATCCACCTCCTCGGCCTCCTCCTCCTCCTCTTCCTCCTGCTCCTCCGTTTCATCCTCCTGTTCCTCCTCCTCCTCATCCATCATCATCATCATCATCATCATCATCATCATCATCATCATCATCATCATCATCATCATCATCATCATCATCATCCTCATCCTCATCCTCATCCTCACCCTCATCCTCATCCTCATCATCATCCCCATCCTCATCCTCATCCTCAACCTCATCCTCATCCTCATCCTCACATCATCCTCACATCATCATCATCATCATCATCATCATCATCATCATCATCATCATCATCATCATCATCATCATCATCATCATCATCATTACCATCATCACGACAAACAGCATCATCATCATCATCAGCATCATCATTATCATCATCATTGTCATCATCATCATCCTCATCATCACCATGCTCATCATCATCATCATCCTCATCCTAATCCTCACATCATCATCATCATCACCATCATCACCATCATCATCATCGTCCTCATCAGCATCATCATCAGCATCAGCATCAGCATCATCATCAGCATCATCATCACCATCAACATCTTCATTCTCGTCATCATCGACCTCATCGGCCTCATTCTCGTCCTCATCGACCTCTTCGACCTCCTCCTCATCCTCCTCTTTCTCCTCCTTCACATCTTCTTCATGAACATCATCATCATCATCATCATCATCATCATCGTCATCATCATCATCATCATCAGTGTCATGATGATCATCATCATCATCATCATCATCATCATCATCATCATCATCATCATCAGCATCATCATCATCATCATCATCATCATCATCATCATCAGCATCATCATCATCATCATCATCATCATCGTCCTCCACCTCCTCCTCCTCCTCCTCCTCCTCTTCCTCATCGTCATCGTCGTCCTCATCGACCTCCTCGACCTCCTGCTCCTCCTCCTCTTCCTCCTGCTCCTCCTCCTCCTCCTCCTCCTCATCATCATCATCATCGTCGGCGTTGTCGTGATCTTCGTCATCATCATCATCATCATCATCATCATCATCATCATCATCATCATCATCATCAGCATCATCATTACCACCATCATCTTGATCAGCATCATCATCATTATCATCAGAAGCATCATCAGCATCATCAGCATCATCAGCATCAGCATCAGCATCATCAGCATCATCAGCATCAGCAGCATCATCATCATCAGCGTCATCATCAGCATCATCAGCATCATCGTCATCAGCATCACCGTCAGCATCATCACCAGCAGCACCAATATCATCATCATCATCATCATCATCATCATCATCATCATCATCATCATCATCATCAACAGCATCATCATCAGCAGCAGCATCATCAGCATCATCAACAACCTTATCAGCAGCAGCATCATCAACATCAGCATCAGCATCAGCATCATCAGCAGCATCATCATCATCAGCATCAGCATCAGCATCAACATCATCATCAGCATCACATTCATAATCCTCATCATCATGATCATCCGCAGCATCATCAGCATCGTCATCATCAGCATCAGCATAATCGTCGTCATCGTCATTGTCATCGTCATTGGCATTACCCTCGTCATTACCATCATGAGTACTAAAATAATCAGCATCATCATAATCAGCATAGTAGTAATGATGATAACACTCAGCATCATCAATATCATCGTCGTCATCATCAGAATCGTCATCAGCACCGACATAAACATCATCATCATCACCATCATCATCAGCAGCATCACATCATCATCAGCAGCATCAGCATCATCATCATCATCATCAGCATCATCATCATCATCGTCCTCATCGATTTCATCGACATCATCCTCCTCCTCGGCCCCATCCTCCTCATCCCCCTCCTTCCCCTCCGCCCTCTTCCTATTTGGAATCGTGATCCTCGCCCGCATCGACCAACCTCGACCTTCTCTTCCTCCTCCTCCTCCTCCTCGGCCTCAGCCTCCTCTCCTTCTTCTTCTTCATCAGCAACATCAACATCATCACCACCATCATCATCCGCTTAGCAGCAGCAGCATCATCCTCATCTGCATCCTCATCGTCACCAGCATCATAATCAGCAGCATCAGCGTCCTCATCGACATCATCATCCTGATCATCCTCCTCATCATCATCAGCAGCAGCAGCGGCATCCTCATCCTCCTCACCATCATCCTCGTCATCATCAGCAGCAGCATAATTAGCGTCACCGCGATCATCCTCATCATCAGCACCATCGTCATCATCATCATCAACATAATCATGACGATTATCCTCATCACCAGCATTATCACCATCATCAGCAGCAGTAGAATCATCGGCATCATCGTCATCATCGTCCTCATCAATATCTTCGAACGTCTCATCATCATCCTCCTAATCCTCATCCCCCTCCTCCTCCGCGTCATCGTCAACAACATCATGAGCATCAGCGTCGTCATCGTCATCATCATCACTACCCCCACCACAACGACCACCTTCAACCCCACCACCACCACCATCACTATCACCATCATCATCACCACCACCAACACCACCATCATCATCATCATCATCATCGTCATCAGCATCAGCATCAGCATCAGCAGCATCAGCATCAGCAACAGCATCATCATCAGCAACATGATCATCATCGACAGCATCAGCATACTCATCGTCGTCATCATCAGCAGCATCAGCAGCATCAGCATCATCATGATCATCAGCAGAATCTCCATCATCATAAGCATCATCAGTACCATTATCATCATCAGCAGCATCAGCATCTATCCTTAGCATCATCATCATCAACATCGTCATATTCGTCATCATCGTCAGCAACAGCAGCAGCATCATCATCACCATCTGCATCATCATAATCATCAGCATCATTGTCACCAGCAGCAGCACCGTCAGCATCAGCATCAGCATCAGCAGCATCATCGTCATCATCACCATCACCATTGTGGTCCTCGTACTCATCGATCCCCGCGACTTGATCCTCCTTCACCTCCTCCTCCTTCTCATCCTCCTCCTCTTCCTCCTCCTCAACATTCATTCCATGTCCTTATAAACAATTTCTACCTGTCGCACCTCGAGGCCAGCTTTTAAGGCGGGCCCGGGCGTTTCGCGTGAGACTTCCTCGCAGTTTACGACCCGGAAGCGTAAACCTTGGCAACAGTTTCACAGATGGAAGGCGGGTCGTTTTCCCAATGTGGCTCTCGCCTTTGCGCCGCGCACATTCCTTGTTAAATTTGCAAGAGCTTCACGGATTGATGGGCGGGCCGTGTTCAAAATGTGGCTCTAGCCTTAGCGCCGAGCACATCCTTTTTTGAAAGTCTGCACGAGCTTCACGGGTTAAGGGCGGCTCATTTTCAGAATGTGGTTCTCGCCTTAGCGCCGCGCATATTTTTTGTAAAAAATACAAGAGCTTCACGGATTGAGGGCGGTCCGTTTTCAAAATGTGGCACCCGCCTTAGCACCACGCACTTCCTGTTTAAAAATGTGCAAGAGTTTCGCGGATTGACGGCGGTTCCTCTTCAAATGTGGCTCTCGCCTTAGCGCCGCGCATGCTCGCTTTTAAAATTTGCTAGAGATCGACGGATTCCTGTGATAAACGTACCAGAAACGGTGTTTGGGAAGGATTCAGAAGTTATGAGCGAACAAAACTAACGTTGATTCGCGGTGTTGAAATCCCAGCGATGGGTCAGGCTGATCCGTGCCATTGGAATCCCGAGAGCAATGTTTTGGCATGCCTCAGAGTCTTCAAACAGTTGTCTTCCAACGAGACAGGTCCCTCAGTGGACATGGACCGATGCTGGCCTATGAAGAGGGAGCTTGGGGGAAGGGTGTATTTCAACATTGTTGATGACTCTTGGGTTTACACGAGCTCTCCTCCTGCTCCTCCTCATCATCATAATCCTCACCATCATCAACAAAAGCATCAACATCATCACCAGCAGCAGAATCAGCATCATCATCATCCTCATCATCCTCATCATCATCGTCAGCATCATCATCGTCATCATCATCATCATCATCATCATCATCATCATCATCATCATCATCATCATCATCATCATCATCATCATCATCATCATCAGCATCATCATCCTCTCCTCCTCCTCCTCCTCCTCCTCCTCCTCCTCCTCCTCCTCCTCCTCCTCCTCCTCCTCCTCCTACTCATCCCCCTCCTTACCCTCCCCCTCCTCCTCCTCCCCCTCCCCTCTCTTCCTCCTCCTCCTCCTCCTCCTCCTCCTCCTCCTACCTCCTCCTACTCCTCCTCCCTCCTCCTCCGTCTCCTCCTGCTCCGCTCCTACTCCTCCTCCCTCCTCCTCCTCCTCCTCCTCTTCCTCCTCCTCATTCCTCATCCTCATCCTCATCCTCAGCCTCATCCTCATCCTCATCATCATCATCATCATCATCATCATCATCATCATCATCATCATCATCATCATCATCATCAATCAATCAGATCATCATCATCATCATCCTACATCATCAATCATCATCGCATCATCATACATCATCTCCACCTCTCCTCATCATTCATCATCAATCATCATCAATCATCATCATCATC